ATCTTACTTCAACAGGGTAAATCTACCAAACTTAGCATACTTAGAATTACGTACGTAGTTATTAAAACTTAAGGCCAAAATTTGTGTGTATGTTTATTTTACAACGAATTTAAGTAAAAATTGGAATAGAGACAACTTATATCCTATATCGGAGTACAAGTTAAGGCTTATTTTTAGTATACATCAATAATTGTTGGTTACAAAATGATGGACTGTATTCACTAATTAAAATTGCTTGTAGAAACGTGAACATGTAACCTCACACAATGAAAACAAGGCATCTGTTAGAATACATATCTAAAATTAAGTTTAGCTTTGAGCTCTCCAGCGATTTGCATTCAGAATTTTGAATATAATAGGAATAGTTAAGTGCGAATTGCGATCAGCTCTCGTGGATTTATACGCTTCTGCTAAAACACGCTTATCCGAAGTTATCTTCAGTTAAGAATTTCATTAGTTACTTTTAGAAAGTAAATTTAAATAAAAAATAATATTTTGGTCCAAAAGACTGTGTATTATGCAAATTTAAAAGTTTCATTTTTTATGTTCCATGTTAACAACATCCGTAAACAGTCATGAAATTAATATGTTATTTTATATTGTGTAATTCTCAGAAGTATACTTCTGTCGATCTGCTATGTTGCACTAGTATAGTATTATAATATACTAGCACTGCCCGCGGTTCTGCCCGCATTTAGATGACTAAAAACCAAATTCTTAGGTTTTACATATTAGTATACTCTTACATTGCAGTTTTTGTATTTTTTCTCAGAAATGAGATATTTTCCCGCGGTAAAAAATATGTTATACGTTGACCCAGATAGCCAGCTATCACCATACCAAATTTCATCAAAATCCCTCCAGTGGTTTTTCTGTGATGCGGTAACAGAAAGACAAAAATTTTAAAAACTATAGATTCGGGCTTTGTATCGATAATAATGTTTATTTCAATAAGATTTTCCAAAAAATATTTATTAATGTACAGATTCGGCTTAGTTACAAATTTTATTATATGTTTAGATATGTACCTTTATATAGAAAGTCGGAATTTTCAAATCAATTCATTCTGTGGTATTTTTTGATCAGGTCTAATAACACCTTTTGTTACATCACATACATAATCCGAAGAATTTCAAAAATCCTAATAGTACATCTATTTGAAATCATCAAACTATTCAAAGGGTATAAAATATTTAACAAACACTCACGACGGAACGGATTGTCGGTTGGAAACTCAACGCGGCGTACAAAGGATTTCCTCGATCGTAAAAGCTGTGAAGAATGATATTGCAATGAGAATTTAGGGACAGACGCTTCTAAAGTTTTAATATGGCTAACGTTTGTTATAGTGACTGCACCTTACCTTAGCTTAGAAGAAAAATTGCAATGAAGTAAAATAATACTTTAATATATAATATACTAGCAGAACCCGCGTCTTCGCTCGCGCTAAAACTACAAAAAATCTGTAAAAAGGTACGTTTCATACAAACTTTCATCCCTTATTTTACCCCCTTATAGGATGAATTTCGAAAAATGCTCAAACATATATTTATTTTATTGTATTTAAAGAGTATTAATGCCTAGTTTCAAGTAATTCTGATCATGAATAATTTTTTATCATCAGAATTATAAAATGTTTTTCCATGGGAATTAGATAATCTTCCGCGGTAAAAAGCTCAGCATCTTCACACAAAAAATCACGCCACGTCCGTCACTCTGTTTCGACGTGAAAGAAGAACAAACAAACAAACAAATTCTTACATTTATTATATTAAGTATGGATAATACGAATAATATAGATAAATTTAATATATAATACGAATATTTGTCATTAAAAAAAAAAAAAAAAACGGGTGTCTCCCGTCACCAGGCTTGCTGTAACACATCCAAAACGTCGGGAAATAAAATCTAGGACAGTTTGTGAAATCTTATTATATACGCATAATCGCAATGTTTATACTATTTACGAAGAACCTGCCTGTTTTCGTGATACCAATAGAAGCGAAAATACATACATACATATATCTTACAAAACAACTTTTTAAAAGATTTTTTTTTATTTAATCACCAACAATCACTCGAAAAGGAAATAAATTTAATCAAAAATATTGGTTCTAATCAATAAAGGTCAATGATAGCATAAAGCACAGATATTCATACATTTGGAAATCCCATTAAATAAGTTTCTTTAAAAGTTTAACAATAATCTATTAAAAGTGCAGTCTAGACTGTTTCAAGTTAAATCTAAACGGTGAAGCATTAAATCTACTTAAACTGATACTCTGCTCGAGTTAGCAAACTCATCGCTGTGTGTAAAGGATTTCTACGTTAAAGCCTTTAAGAACGATCGACGGATACTTCATTTCTTTTCAAGTTACAATTGTTTAAAGTTAGAATTTAAATAACAACTAAACCACATTTAACAGTCTTCTTGAAGAAGGTGATCTTTCACAGGGTAAAAAAGCTTCAATCCCCTGATAAATTCTTCAAATTTTGGTGTTTTTAGGCTGCGTGATATTTTAGCCAATATGAAACTTAATACTTTCTTAGATTTACGCGAATATTTGACATTTTAAATAAAATTATCTTTTCGGATTTTGTCGCAGATTTATTTGCATTTTTGTTTCCCGACGTTTCGAATGCTTTACAGCATCCGTGGTCACGGGAGAGACTGAGGTGTTACATGTCTTGAAGGAATAGTTGTTACAGACAGCCTACCCACAATTAACAAAATGAAAATTGCACCAATTACATTACAATATTAAATGTTATATAAAATTTTTAAATTTAAAAAATATTGTAATTTAATTGGTGCAATTGCAAAACTCTCTATTCTGTATATGTCTTATACTTCCAGAAAGAGAAATTCGACACTTTTCTAATCTACGGCACTGTCTGTAGCATTTTCTTTCTGCTATTGACGATTTTAATTATGAAAATGACCAGTCATAAGTCAAAAGTTTAAGCTACTTCAACGTCTTATAATCTAAAAAAGAGACTTTTACCTTAAAATATGGATATTATAGTTGCAATTATTTGGTGCAAACAAAGATTGGTTAACAAATAGATTTAAATAACGACAAAAAATTTGGTGATACAGCATTTCAAGTACCTTCATCTGTGTTCAAACCATAATTATAATTTAAATCTTTTAGGATATGAAATTTATACTATATTTACATTTGTTCTTTATCTTGCTACTCCTCTAAGGAATGAAATCCTTACTGTTATAAAAGAAAAGAAAAGTGAAACAAAATTAATAGACTTTTTCTTCAACGGAACGATGAAACAACGGCCTTTTTAGTATATACTAGCTATATAGCTTAGAAATGCCATAGGTTTTTGGTATACAATTTTATGGAAAACACCTCAAATGGTACGGAAAATTAAAGTTCCTTAGTTATCTGAGCGAAGCAAGTACAGTTCAATTGTATTTAGATAATACGTACAACGATGCATATCTACATGATAAATTTCTCTCACAAATTCACTGAATATACGACTAAAATCGAACAAAATAGAGCTGAGATTGCCCACATTTAGTTACAAGTCACTAGTGTCCGAACTAAATGGACTTAATTCGAAATGAAGTATCAGATCGTCGATTGAGCGAATGCAAGCAGATTTTCACACACAGTTTCAGTGAAAGGTGTTTCTAATTTACTCGAGCACTTCTCATCGGGTTGGAACTCTTACTAGAATAGATAAAAATATAAAATCGGTAAAGTGCGAATCGGACGCGCACACGGATTCCGCACCATAATCGTTTTTTTTTATTTCTATGGCAGCTTTTTTGAAATTCGCCATCTTCTAGACTTTCCAATTTTCCAGCTGTTTCTATGTGTTTTCCCAATTTTTTTATACTCAAACTACCCCTGACATACCCTCAACAAAACAAAAAAAAAATATTCAAATCGGTCCAGCTGTTTTTGAGTTTTAGCGAGACTAACAAATAGGAAAAAATAGCGAGACAGATATAAGTACGCATTCTATACAAATTAGCTTATTATATTCAAATAAATATACAGCTTGAGCTCCTCGCGCTTATATAAAACGAAGATCATATTCTGCAGTTGAGCTCTGAATGAAAATAAACCTTTCATCTAAATCTTCTAGTAAAATTGAAAATACAAATCTGAGTTTAATAAATAAATTGAAATCTTCTATATTAAATTCTATATTAAAGATAAGTAAATATCTGCATAGTACTTTTGTTTCTATACTTAGTCTGTACTAATATTATAAATATGAAAGAATGTTTTTTTGTTTCTTTGTTTGTTTGTTTGTCCTTCTTTCAATCGAAACAGAGTGACGGACTGGCGTGATTTTTTTTGTGAAGATAGTTAGAGGACTGGAGAGTGGAGAGTGACATGACAGACAGCATACAGGCTACTTTTTACCGCGGAAAATTATCTTAGTCCCACGTGAAAACATGATATAATACAACTCACAACTCATCATACCTATGTATATATAATAGTCTATCTGCTCCATACTAACCATTAAAACGTACCCTACCAGAGGTTCGTCCCTGCCAGAGCGAAGCGAGGGCTAGACGCTAGTGCTATATAATTTAGTTAGGCAGGAAGTTTGTAGTATATTAAGAAATGCTATTTACCTACTATAAGATATAATTTAATGTTATATTCAGTGAATATTAAAATGATATTATGAAGTTATCCTTGCATTCTCTACTTAGATTTCAGGGTATAATATTTTTGAAGAAATTGTATCACAATCATCGACTTACTAGGCAAATGGAATCCTAATTATCACTAATACTAACTAATACTAATAAAAGTAAAATATGTAAGTATATCAAGTTAGTAATGTAAAAAACCATATACCCACATCCCCTTTTTGCTCTTTGTTTTCATTTGAGGTAACACCAGATCTGTAAGGTCCACATTCAAAATGAACCAACCGACAAAATTATTTCCACATACACAATATTTAGTATAGTTTTAATATTCATTTTTAACAAGATAATATTTTCCCAGATGTTACGAGATATGCGAGGCACGAGTACCGACAGTTCTGCACATAAGTTCCGCCTCATGCAGCTGGCGCTCAACGCAGTGGCGTTACTTGCTATCACCGGCGCCTTGTTCGCCTACTTCAGGGCTAATCCCGCTGTACAGGTGAGATAAACTCCTTAACTTTCCTAAACTAAGCTGTATCAAAGTTAGCAGTGAGAGTAAATATGAAATAACTAGGAGTCAGAAGTACAATATATTTGACTTAGTAAATAATGGCTGTTTAGCTCAAAAATTACACTAAAATAGTTATTTTTTCTGAAAGGTTGTTTTTTTCATGTAAATGATCACAATTTAATACAAAAACACTAAATTCAAGTAACAAAAGGTACGTTTAAGCAATTAATAAGTTAAAATTATAGTAATATAGACTAGCGACTCACCCTCGCTCCGTTTGGGTTCGTCCCTAGATATGCTACTTGTATAATATATGATACGTTAGTATGTTGGTAAAGTTTATAGCGTGATCTATACTAATATTATAAAGAGGTAAAGTTTGTGAATTGTGAGTTTGTGACGTTGTAGGGGGTAATCTCTGGATCTACTGAACCGATTTAGATGAAATTTGGTTAGAAGATAGTTTGAGACCCTGGAAAGAACATAGAACTTTTTATCCCGGAAATCATCCCTAAAAGGGGTGAAAATGGGGATGCAAGTTTGTATGGCTAATCAATCTAGGGTCGAACCCAGCGAAGCGAGGGTAAGTCGCTGGTGTTTTAACAAAGATAAAATAATATTTCTTCTAAGTAACTTTGTTTTTTAATGCATTTGCCAACTTTGAGATAAAGCTATCTTTTCAGATGGAAATAGGAATATATATATATATATATATATATATATATATATATATATATACATATATAATGTCGAATAGGAAATTACACCTAAGAACGGTTTATGTCAATTCTAAATATATTGTTCAAGCTCTTAGGACATTTCTCACCTCATTCATTAACAAAAACTCAATTTTATGGAAACAATTACAGCCTAATACTAATTAAATACCAGCACCTCAAGAACTCTAACGAACAAAGTTGTTTTTGATATTTTCGGAAAGTTGGCGAAAAGATTATTTGTTTTATAAACTTTGCTTTAATGACCCTTTTGTTGAATCTTTATTATTTAGAATAATATTATTAATTATAATGTTATTATTATAATTTGACAATACTTTCGTATAATTTACTTACGTAAATAAATCATCTGTCTATATACATATATATTATGTTAGTGTTCAAGAACGGCTATGAGTATATTAATGTAGCATTGAAAATATTCTTTCTTACAAAAAATCCCATAAAACAATAGTATTTATGTTTAGTTTTATCTAATATATACTAGCAGAACTCGCGGCTTCGCTTGCACTAAAACTAGTTCTCTAAGGTAGTTTTATATTATATCAATTTCATCCCCTATTTTACCCCCTTATAGGATGAATTTCGAAAAATACTAAAACGCGTACTTATTTAATTTTATTGAAGTGAATTAGTACCAAGTTTCAAGTAATTCTGATCGTAAATATTTTTGTGGATTGTATTATAATTTATAAAATGTTTTCCCGTTGAAATTAGGTACAATCCCGCGGTAAAAAGTATGTCACTCACTCTCCAGCCCTCCAAGTATCTCCACACAAAAAATCACGGCAATTCGTTACTCCGTTTCGACGTAAAAGAAGGAGAAACATACAAACAAACACACTTTCACATTTATAATATTAGCATGGATACTATAATGAAGCAGAAATCTGCACATAAAATATTTTTTTTTTTTAAAAACAATGGCTGTAACTTATTATGTACAATACAATATAGACCCCAAAACAATAGTTATCAAAAATTTTGTCTGTTTGTCTGTTTGTGTATGTGCGTTACACGCAAAAGTAATGAACCGATTTCAATGAAATTTGATAAAGTGATAACTTATTACTCGGGTCAACATTAGGGTACCCTTTACTTCAAGAAAATCTTTCTTTCCCACGAGAAAACACAATAAGTGATTCTATCGAGTCTAGGAATTTATATGGCTAACGCTGGCTAAACCTTAAGAGATACATCAAAACAATGTACTAGAAAATTGTAGGTTTTAAAAAGGTCTATAGAAAGATATGCAATAGTGTATGTCTAACTCCTAAGTGTACACTCGCTATAAGTACTATAAGTACCTATTAAAGGCAATGTCTCGACTCACTGACTGACTTATCAACGTTCAGCCCAAGCCGATGATGATATACCAGCACCACAAAAAAGCCAGCCAGCTTTATATATCCATACTAATATTAAATTCGAAAGTAACTGTCTATCTGTCTGTCTGTCTGTCACCTTTTCACACTTAATGCGCTGAACCGATTTATAATATGAAATTTGGTATGGAAATAGTTTTAAGACCCTGGAAATGACATAGGATGGTTTTCATCCCGGAAAATATATCATATATAAGGGAGTGAAAAGGGGGGTGGAAAATTGAATGGGAATCAATCATTTCTCAAGTAAGCGATATATATTTATTATAAGGGATGATATTTTTTATAATACTTACCTACTTTTCTATACCTATGTATGTATACTGTACATATATGTATATACGAACACGAGCGAAGCGAGAGTAAGTCACTAGTCAAATAATAAATTCATGACAACGAGTTCACATATAATTTAATTACATGTTCATAATTAGTTAATTAACATTTCTTTATTCAATATTTTCCAAACAAAATGAGTGAATTGTTGTTTTGAAGCCGCTACAATCACAATTTACAAAGGTATAAAAACAGGTAAAAAATAGAAGCCAAGTAAGGTTTAAACGTGCGCCCATCATTCTTGTTTCACGTTTTTTCTACAGCTATGGAGAACAATAAGTTTTTAATTTGAGTCACATAAAGCCATTGAAACAATTATTTCGGAGTGTCGCCTTTGAAAGAGTACTCGCTAGGGTCTACTTCGAGTTGCGATGCTGGTTACAAAAAGCGTTCCTTGTAGAATAAGCTTTTGTTAGTTATGTAACAATAATAATTAAGGCGGGATGTTAGTATGCTACTACGATATGCATTGGTCATTATTTCTAATATAGATATATACTTAATCTACCCTGAAGTAATAAAAACAGATTATTTTTCTTAGGTCACGTGGTAAAATCATGAATTTCGATTTTGGCTCTCTTCCTCCACACATCGAAGTTTGAAACTTTATAAAGCATGTGAAATCCGATAATTTCAATATGGTGATGGCAATACTATAATTTTATTTCTTCAAAACCCTTCTTTGAAGATGCTCATTTGATTAGTTTTTTTCTGTACGTGTCTTTTTTACGAAAATATTGTTTAGACAGACATCACGTAGTTTAAAACTATACAACTCGAAATTCAAAGGATATTTTTAAAATCGTTTCTTACCTGTTGTACCTATTAAAGTCCAAAGAATAGTCAATCCGTAGTAGTTTCATATGTCTTAAAACATTGCATTTGTTATTTCGAAAACATTACTAAAAAGCTTTTTTTATTATTTTAACTCCTAGACGTTACAAATTAAAAAAAAAACAAATTTATAGAATATAAAATTGGATGAGGTGACGGTAAACAAAATCTCTTTGACAAATCTGACTCATTTGGACTGAGCTTTTATTTAAGAACTTAAAAAGTTCACGTTTAAAGCTCACTGATTCAATTTGTTGGTTGTAATTTAAATGTTTTACCTGTTGTTGTTTGTTTGGACAAGTTTCACAAAGGAAAGCTACTAATAGTCTGTTATTCTCGACGGCTTTGACGAATGTTTTGAGAGTGGAAATTAGGCACGACTCTTTCTGTATTTTTGTGGTTAGTTCGTCATAACAAAGGTTTAACAATTGTTTTATTTTCTTTGTTAATGTTTTTATAAATAATAATTGTTAGTTAAAGGGATTCTGTTATTTATGCTATTTCCGGTGATTATGTTTCATAGATTTTTGTTGGTTTCATTGATGACGTAATCTCGGGAATTATCAATCCGTACTGATTTAAAGAACACCTAAATTTGTTGTATTACTGTAATTAGTGTTTTCCCGCGGCTTCGCACGTTTTATTCGATTAAGTATTACTATATGTTTAAAAACCATAGCCTACTAGCGACTCGTACGTTTAAGTACCAAAATGCCAAAAAAAATCTGTTGATCCGATCGCACTCAAACTTCACAGTATCTCCGCTAGGTTTGAAATTCTGAAGATTGCTTGAAAATTTCATTAAAATCGCTCCAGTCGTTTTGAGTCCAAAGGTACCATTCATATATACACAATATAGGTATAGGTGTGTTACTCTGATGTATAAGCTATATGACTGTAAAGTTTCATCAAAATCCGTTCAGTAGTTTTTACACGAAATAGTAAGAAACATCCATCACTCCATCATCACAAATTTTCAAATTTATAATATTAGTAGAAAAAAAATTAAAATAAATGTACATAGCTCCGAGATTTCGGAGAGCAAAATTTTTATGTGCGAAACATTTTACATTTCCAGGAAATACCTAAGAAATTAATTAAATTTCTAAGAAATCTATTGTGTGTGTGTGTTAACTGTAACGCCGGCGTGTCCGCGGACGTGGAGGGATTAACATTATTACTTGCCTTCTTTCTGTCTGAACCCCATCGCAATTTTTAACAGTAGCAGTAACCAGTAGCGGAACATTATAAAGAGAGAAAGAGAGATATCTCCGAGAATTCTATATTTTAATTATAGTATAACTTATCTTACACAACTTTATACAAAGAAAATTACGTAAAATATTCATCATTTTATATAAGGTATTTCAAAATTACCATAAAATATGAATTTTCTGTGTATTTTAGCGGACAAAGGTGACTTTGATTACGGCGTGTCACACATTTTTGGACGCAATCTCATCCGGAGAATGTTAGTAAAATGTAAATTTTCAACCTAATATTATTATAACGTAACACGTCAATATTAATCTCTCTTTCTCTCTCTCTCTCTCTCTCGCTCTTTATGAATCTTTGTTAACATTTTATTATCTATCCGTCCTATATTTTCTTAGGGCTCCATTTGCGTGGTAGGTGCGTTGATAAAAATACTATGTATTATGTTTTAGCTCATAATATAAGCTATATATATATATATATATATATATATATATATATATATATATATATATATATATAACAGTAACTTAGCGAAATCTGTACATGTTTTTTTTTTAAACAATGATTGTAACGTATTGTGTACGGAATATAGACCCCAAAACAATATTTATTATAAAAATTTACTGCTTTTCTGTATGTCTGTTCGTGTGTGCGCGTTTTACGCAAAAAGTACTAGACAGGTTACTCAGGTAATTTGGATATCTTTTACTACAGGAAAATCTTTCATTCCCACGGTAAAACACAATAACTGTTTCGAGTCATCCTTAGAAATTTACACGGCTAACGCTGGCTAAACAAGTTAAGATTTAACTTAAGAAGGCCTACAAAGCATGAGTCTCTGAGGTACACTCACAATGAATATTTATATTTAAAACGTACGCACTCAAGCGAAGCAAGCGTAAGCCGATAGTATAGAATACAAATTCTCACTCACTCTCTTAATCAAAAGTACCTTGAAACTTTTATCAAAAGATTATTTTCAAAATAGCAGGCTCTATCAATAGGAGAAGGACCGAAGCAGCCAATTAAGATTTTACAGTCTTCAATATCAAATGAAAGGAAATAGAGCAAAGCAATCTCTTGTTAACTTACATATACTATAGTATTACATATACATAAAACACTTACATAGCGAGTTTTGTTATTATAAATATATACATCACTTTTTGTACGCTAGTTTTTTTTCCTTAAACATCCATCCTCTACACTCGGAGATCCTTTGAGTCTCCGAAATGTTAGCAAAGTTATAATTACTCGTAGAAAATGAAAATATAAACGTATCGTATGTTATTATAAATTTTATTGCGGAAACCAAATATTTTCCTAACGTAAAAAGTAGCATTTGTTACTCCCATTCTAATACGTATGTTGTACTATTTCAAGACGTCGGTGTTGAGATAAACTTAATCATAAAAAATATGTTATTCATATAGACTGCGACGACACGTTTGGCTCAGTTTGTTGTGACCAAAGTGATTATTGATACTTGATAAATAAATAAATATGTTGGGACATTAACACACAGCACCGTCTAATTCCATGGTAAGCTACGAGGCTTGTGTTATGGATACCAGATAGTTGATACACTATACATATATAACTTTAAATACATACATATTATAAATCTAAACACCCATGATTGCAGTACAAACATTCGTGCTTATGGCACAAATGAATGTCCCCAGCGGGACTCGAACCTGCGACCGCTGGCACAGCAAGTAGGGTCAGGTTTGCTGGCACAGCAAGTAATCGGCATGAGTTTAATAATTTGATTTATATTGTACTACCGACTTACCCTCGCATCGCTTGCGTCTCTATGCACGTTTTATTTAGATAAAAATAGTTATTGTGAACGTACCTTAGGATGTAGATATATACTTTTGCAGACTTGTCTTTTAACCCTTTTTTGTGTACAATTTTCATTTTACATTGTTTTGATCTGAAGGTTTAGAAAACGCTAGAAAGAAGCTAAAAACTGTTTTAATATGAGCTCATAGTCATATGAAAATCGATTTTTTTTTTGACAAACATCATTTACAGTCATTTTGTACAAAATATTTATAAATTATATACTCAAACCTTCCTCGTTTATCGCTTTTTCTATCAGTCAAAATTGTATCAAAATCCATTTAGAAAAAATACGCGGAGAAACAGACAGACACAGACAGCGACTATTACCCCAAAATATTAAAAGTTCCCACATAGTTAACAATAAAATAACTTAAATATCATACTAGAACGAAATAAATAGCTATATATGTATTCCTTGGTACATAATTTAACAATTAAAATTTAAGATGCCATATTGTCTATACTAATATTATTAATATGAAAGTGTGTTTGTTTGTTTGTTTGTTTGTTTGTTTGTTTGTTTGTTAGTTCTTCTTTCACATCAAAACAGAGTCAAAATTCTTCAGGATTGGCGTGATTTTTTGTATAATGATAGTTGGAGAGCTGGAGAGTGACATAGGCAACTTTTTCCCACATTGTGTGATACCTACCTTTTTAGAGTATTTTTTGTTGTTTCAGCGCGAGCGAAGTCGTGGGTTCCGCTAGTAATTGTATATAGCAAAGTTATCAATACCATTCCGAGTTCGATAATTCCTGCAATTCTATGCATTAAAGTTGGTACTATCAATACCCGTTAAGACAATACGGTGGAAATTGGTGTGCCATTCATTCCATATCTTTATTGTTTGCCTCGTTAACGACTTTGTCTTAGGAATCCGTTCGTGACAAACTAGTTTTGCGTCACAGCTTTTCCTCTGCTAATAACTTCAATAAGTCCTGTTTCTCTAAGATTGTGCCTATTATTTAAAGTTTGTATTATTAACCCTATAAATATTTTGACGGCACGTTTGTCTCAGTTTGTAGTGCTACCCTACTTGCCAGCAATCGCGGGCTCGAGTCCCGCTGCGTGTTAATGTCCCATCATATTTATTATTTATTTTATAAATATCCCAAAAGAGCCATACATTTTTCTAAGATAATCGACTAATAGGGCGTATTTAGCTTACTTTTAGAGTTAATTCGTTGGTAGACTCTTTTAAAAAGAACCTAGCGTCACGTTTTTAAATCCAAGAAGCCTTTTGTGTACTCCATAATATAAACAGGTTGTTATAAGTCTTCTTGAGTTTTTTTCAGAAATAAGGTATTTTTCAAACGGTTTGTAGAGATTTTAAGGAACGATAATACCCACTTACATCAAATACTTTATTTGATTTAAGTATCTTAAATAGCATATTTGCTGCAAATGTCAATACACTTATACTGTTTGTTTATTTGTTGTAAATACCTAAGAATTTTGGTGCAAGAGTTGCTAAGTAAGTGTTTTTATAAATTGTAAGTAATTTAATGACTTTAAATTTGATTTTTGTTCACAGTACGTGTCACAAGTGGTGAATCGATCAGCCGTAGTAACATGGCCAGTTCCAACTGAGCCTCCCGGCGCTAGGAACCCGGCACCAGGCGTGTGTCTACCGGTTATTGTCACCTTCTGCCAGCAACACCGCATCTCATATAACTTTACTGTGTTCCCAAACTACATTGGACATTTCGGGCAAAGGGATGCCCAGCAGGTAAGATTTGGCAAAAATTTCGGTTTTTTAACTACCTGTTGACAAAATTTTGCTACATAGCTAGTGACTCACCCTCACTTCGCTCGGGTTTGTCCCTAGGGTAGACCACCTTTATCACTTAAAGGTGTCAAAAATAGTTTACGTCCTATTCTCAGACCTACTGAATATACACACAAAATTTAATAAGGATCGGTCAAGCCGTTTTGGAGGAGTTTTGTTACAAACACTGTGACACGAGAATTTTATACATTAAATATTATAAAATCAAGTCACGTATCGCGCTGATTAAGTGTTTCTTCGAACTTAGAAAAACTTTAGAAATTATTCTACCGATTTTCATATGGTTTTTACTTATATAATAAATAGTACGAAAATATAATTCATAAGAATTTTGCTAAAATAAGCTTCCGGTATGACGATATTTTAAATTAATTTGAAGAATGTCATCCCTTAGATCCCCTTTTAGTAATGTTATTAATACAAAAGGCATCTCGGGACGTTAATGGGTCACTAGATATTTAATATTTTAATTATTAACGTTGGAATTAATTTGCAAGTAAGCATATTTATTACCTACCTCTTTTTATATCTTGATTAATAACAACAAGAAAAAAGGGGAATATCTCAAGATTTTTTCGAACTGTTATTTCATACATGTTTGTTTGTTGGTCCAATGCCCATCTTTCATGGAATAATGGGATAACAGATCGACTTTAGTTTTTCCATAGATACAATTTATGGGACAGAAAGTGTTTTTACTGAAATGAAATAAACTTTATTCATATTAGACCTATTACAAGCACTTGTGAATATCTACTACTTTTACCTACTTCAATACAACACTATTACAAAAATTATCTTAAGACATATTAATATACTAGTAACTTACATTCGCTTCGCTCGGGTTCTCTCGGTTACAATTATTACAACAGATTTTATTCACAATTTCATGAATTTTTATTTTTTGCTCAGCAGCCTAATTTAAAAAAAAATAAAGTAGCCTAAGTTACACCTTATAATATCAGCTATCTGTAAGTAAAAATCTCGTCAAAATCAGACCAGCCGTTTTAGCCGGAACAAACAGATAGGCAGTCAGACACACAAATTTTTTTAAATTTGATTTTTCCTTATAAGTACCGTATATTTCCATTTCCATATGTATTTAGTAAGAAGCTGTTATTGTGACATTACAAACTTCAATTTCATTTATTTGTATAGAGGTTCTTCTAAAACCTATTATTTTTATTTATGTTCATTAATTAATAATATGTTTTTAGGAAAACTTGTAACATTCTGTAAAGAGCACTATTTGGTAGTATATGGACATAGTGAAATGGAGCAGGTGTTAATACTCAGGGAGATTCATGAAACACGTTTCGGTGTTTTCACGTTCACCGCGTTCACAAACTTAAATAAATTGCAATTTGCAAAATAAATTGTAAGAGTTTAAAAATATATTCAGCGCTTTATCGGCTTCATTTTATACGAAATTTTGCCCGCAGCTTTGCTTATTTTCTTTTTTAATCATTTATTTCAGGCAATATTTACAAAAGGATCTTAAATATGGAAACAGAGGCCCATAACATATATACCTTAACTAACATAATATACCTATATGTTAATTATAAAATTTCAATTCAAACTTATATTTATTATGATGATATAAATTAACTGCATGCACGACTAGGGTAGTTTGTAGGGCTACATATAGGATATATTCTACTCCGGACATATTTAGGGTTCCAGCGCGAAAATTCAAAACCCTTAAAATTACACAAAATTCATATGATGAAAATAACCATGACAGCATGTGTGTATCTCCTAAGGTACACTCGCAATAACTATTTTTACCTATACAAAATATACCTAGGGAATACAAAAATGATATTTTAAATAAAACTATCTTTTTGGATTTTTTCGCGAATTTATTTTGATTTTTGGTTCCCGACGTTTCGAATGCTTTACAGCAATCATGGTCACGGGAGAGACTGAGGTGTTAGATGTATCTAAGGTATTATATAGTTGTTACAGACAGCATACATATCATATCAACATAAATAATAAATATTATAAAATATTTCATGTTGAACGTAACATATTGATGAATTATTGTCAAAACGCGAAAGACATGTTATGGTAATTTATTATCACTATCACAATATTATCACGTAAAAATAGATTTTCACATCATTTTCATAAACACAATAAAGGTAAAGTAAAATAAAATATGAAAAAGTTTCTTACTCACAGTGACTTACCGATTACCAGTTCGAAAGGAGAACTTTAAAGCTCTGAGAAGATTTAACTAATTTGTCTTATGTTTTTTTTTTAAATAAAAGCGAGAATTAGAATGTATATTATTTAAAAAAAATCATGAAACATACACTTAAAAAGAAAAAAATAAACTTAAATTGAATATTAAAAAAAATAGCTTTTCGATTTCTTTTGCGAATTTATTTGGATTATTGGTTCCCGGCGTTTCGAATGCTTTACAGTAATCATGGTCATGGTCACATAAAAAAAAATTAAATGTCAAATATTCGCCTAAATCTAAGAATGGATTAAATTGAATATTTCTTTTATAAAGTCGATCAAAATTCTAGATTAAGGTTTTAATACATTAATATTCATATGTATAAGTTTATTAAAATTATACTTTAAATTATAATAAATTTACATATAATTTTACACAAAACACAACTAATGAACCTAAAACAATTATATCTAATGGCGTCGTTAGACAGAGATCGTGACCTCACATCGCGTTGTGGGATTATATTTGTTGACTACTGCCTAATTGATTTGCCGGAGACGCTGCATTTTCTATCAATTTCTATGTATTATATCTTAATTTAATAATTTTAACTAGCGGTTCACCCTCGCTTCGCTCGGGTTCGCCTCTAAACAAACAAAAACACATCTATCCCACGGGAACCGTACATTTTTCCAGGATAAAAAGTAGCTTATTTGTTATTCTGATTTATGAACTATATTATTGTAAAGTTTCATTAAAATCCAATCAGTAGTTTTAATGTACTCATCTGAATAAGTTACTATAGATTTTTATCCCACGGGAACTCTTTAATTTTAGGAATGAAAAGTATCTAAAATGTTGACCGGGGATATAAAGTACCACCGTGTAAAATTTCATTTAAATCGGTTCAACAGTTTCTGAGATTAGCCCATACTAACAGACAAACAGACAGACAGAGAAACAAAAAAATGAAAAAAAAACTGGATTTGTTTTATTTCTTTTCTTACGAGTACATCCCCTGATTCGGTTTTTAGCATTTTTTTCTATGTACAGACATTCGACCTCTACAGTTTTATTATATGTATAGATATAGATAAGATATTCTTATGGTTGTATACGTATATAATGTATTCAGCACATTTTAACGTCCCACTGCTGGGCATGAGCTTCCTTTCAAGACGGGTCAAGGGTAGGGTTTAAGCCATAGTCCACCACGCTAGCCAAGTGCGGGTTGGAGGATGTCACATGTCTTTCAAAAACTTGCTGGATTCTCTCAGACATGGAGGTTTTCTCATAATATTTTCCTTTAGCGTAAGGAAAGTGGTAAACATATATGAAAATTAACTCCACATAAGACTATCAGACGTGCAAGACTCGGGATTTGAACCCGCTTCACTAGGATTCCTAGGCAAGTGCGTACACTGCGTATTATACTCGTACTTATGTCTGCTAATGATTATTTAAGTAATTGTAAAACTTTTTAATTTTTTAAGTTATTTTTCAATCTATTGATAAGGCAAAAATATTGGTTTACTTCAACTTTACGTATACTGTGCTATTACTATCAGAAAGCCTACGGTTTACGTTCATTTGCCTCTCTGTCTGTTTGAAAGGCCGATGAGCCATTATAGGTAGCCAGTAAAGATTTACAAATAAAAAAATGAAAATGTTCTAAGATGATTCAAAGAGTATCTTTTATTGTATGCTACTAATAATTTTGACAGAAAACTTCAGTAATAATATATTGGACCCGGAAATCCGCACGATTGACAGCTGTACATGGTAGCTACTTAACCAATTATAAACTATATTGATATTGTTATATTTATTTTTAAATCACAGCCACATATTAAATTTATTTACGAGCAATACTTTTGTATAAAAAATATTACTATTATTATTATTATTATTACCAATATATAAGGAATATTATTTATATTTTTATATTTGTCTATATATTCCCCATAGTGACACGCAAATAAATTACCATCACGTACACAGCGTCACGTAACGAAAAAGTTTGAATGGTAATGAATAAAATCATTTGAACTATGAGCTTTACATCAATCGGAAAGCTCATAAAAAGCGTGACGATTCGAACTTAATGGCGTGTAAGTTTTCAATATTGCGATAATTAAGGTGCTACGGTTGTACTCGTATATGTCAGTGTCGAGGCACAAAGACGATCGCATCTCGATGCTAACGTTCGCAGTAACAAAGGCTTATTTGTACTCATGTCATAGGAAATTAATTTGCTTAATGAAGTTGGAGACGACAATTGTTCTCTATAGGACATTTTCTGTTTGATTAATTATTTTGTTGTATATAGTATTGTGTTTTATTTTAATTGAATATAATAGTGATTCCGCACTTGAATAAGACCATAACTACTTTTTAGGGGTTTACTATGCCTCCGCTGTCCGTCCGTCCGTCTGTCAGAGGGTTGTAACTCATGAACCGTAATAGTTACAGAGTTCAAATTTTCACATAGTATGTATTTCTATTGTTGCTATAACAACAAATAATAAAATTTAATAAAAAAATTACAAGAAACAATTTTTTAGCGTTCGTAATCGATTATCCAAGATAATATACTACATTACAAATACAATTCAAAGTTGCAACGTTACTCGCCGTATAAAAGACAGCGAACGAAAGATTATGGGACCTACTACAGCTGAAATAGATCTTGATGACGTTCGGTCTATTGTTAGAGAAGAGATGAAATCGTTGCTAGACGTGTTTA